TATTGGTTTCTTTATAATATTCATTAGAATTTCTCTAATATTCGTACTTTCTGCATGGAGTTTAATGGGTTCTTCCCTGTTGAGCAACTTGGCATGAATTGAAAGATGAGAGCCGAGTTGTGTTATTCTTCCTCGCCACATCTCATCACTATTTAAAAGATGGAACCAAATGGTATTGATTAGCATGAGTTGGAGATGTTCGGAAAATGAAAGAAATTTAGCAATGATCGTGATGGTATCGAGTGGCAAGAGATTTAATGACATTTTTTAATATTTGAAATTGAAGAAAATACAATAATAGTTCATAAGGTGATGTTTGCATTATTTGATGCCTTTAGGTTTGAATACCCTAATTGACATCATTGTAATTCAATACATTAACTATTTCTTAGTTGTAATTTTTGCACATGTCCATCGTACTCATTAAATTCTAGTTGAACTTTGAAATGAATACAGTCCAGTATTGAAAAATTAAACGTTTATTCTGCCAATGGTTTAAAACAACAATCAGAGACTTGTATTTTCCTTTCTGTTCTAGGTACATATTAATGACATAACAGTGATGATGATTATAATGAGAAGAATAATCGAAGGACTGCTTGTAATAATACCATAATTAAGAGTTGTTCTATCTGAATCTCTTGGAGAAACATTTGAACTCTTCTGAGTAATGATTGTACTTTTCACAGCTACAATAGAATTATTACTTGTCTTGGGAATAATGATTGAATTTGTTGGAAGAATACTCCTCTGAGAACAATCTAAACCCACCCATCCACTATTACATTGACATGAATTATTGGAAATACATTGACCATTTCCATTACATTGATTCATTAATTCACATGAATGTTGTGAACAATCAGATTTGTTTTTCCAACCTGATTCACATTGACATGTATTATTAGTAAGGCATTGACCATTTCCATTACAATCATTTAAGGATGAACATGTAAATTGAGAACAATCAATTCCAGACCATCCTTCTTTACATTCACATGTGTTATTAGAAATGCATTTTCCATTTCCATTACATTGAGAAAGAGCATCGCAACTGGTAGCAGAACATTGTGAATTACCTCTCCATCCTGATTGACATTCGCATGTATTATTGGAAATACATTTACCATTTCCATTACATTGATTCATTAATTCACATTCAAATTGTGAACAATCAGATTTTGCATTCCATCCTGATTGACATTCACACGTATTATTGGAAATACATTTTCCATTTCCATTACAATTATTAAGTGAATCACAACTTTTAACGGAACATTGTGAATTTCCTCTCCATCCATCATTACATTCACATGTATTATTAGAAATACATTGACCATTTCCATTACAATTATTAAGGAGATTACATTCAAATTGTGAACACTGAACATTTCCTTTCCAACCTTCAAAGCATTGGCACGTATTATTGGAAATGCATGAACCATGTCCATTACAATTATTAGATGAATCACATGTATGTTGAGTACATTGAGAATTTCCATTCCATCCATCATTACATTGACATGAATTATTGGATATACATGAACCATGTCCATTACAATTGTTCAATAATTCACATGTAAACAGAGAACACTGATTATTACCTTTCCATCCATCATTACATTCACATGTGTTATTAGAAATACATTTTCCATTTCCATTACATTGAGAAAGAGCATCACAACTGGTAGCAGAACATTGTGAATTTCCTCTCCATCCTGATTGACATTCGCATGTACTATTAGAAATACATTGACCATTTCCATTACAATTATTAAGGTCATTACATTCAAATTGTGAACAATCAAATGTAGAATTCCATCCTGATTGACATTCACATGTATTATTGGAAATACATTTTCCATTTCCATTACAATTCCA